TGATGTGCTGTTCTAATCGTTTTTGGATAATCTTCAGTAGAATCTTGCTTGCATGTGAAAATATAGAAGTAGTATATATTTAAGTAGAAAGACAAATAAATTCCTCCATGGAATTTTTGAGATAAGGAGCACCACAGACTTTAAAATTTAACTAGCCAGCTGGCTACGCTGTCAGAGAAGAATGAGAAGAATGGGCAATCTCCTCCCATGCGATTAGTCTGAAAACTTACTAGGGGGTCAGCAATGAGTTGGTGCAAACCCAACAGTAAGCACCACAACAGCAATCTAAATGTTGTTCATTTCTATCATATAATACTAGGGATTTATTTGGCCACTCTTTCTCTCTATATTGATATCCATAAAGGTATGTTTCTTGCCATCATTTTGTAATCTTGCTTTAAAAAGCTGTTTCTTTGGTAATTAACCTTTGTTGTCATTGTTGTTAAGTGTCATCGAGTTAAGTATGACTCATAGCAAGCCTATGAACAAAAGAACCCTGTTCTATAACTTGCCATTTCTCTTATGTTCATAGACTTTCCAAAGGCATGTTGTTTAGGAAGTAGATACTAATCTTGCTTCCAGCCTGTCTTAATCTGGGAGCTCCACTAAACACTATCCACCATGGGTAACCATTATGGCATTTGACACACACAGTGTTCAGCATCACAACAATCCCCAGTTTCCTCACTACAGCCAACTGACAGACCAATGCTGTAACACTTAGAAGAATGTCTGTCCCAAACACAATTAAGATCAACTTTTAAATACAAAGGCCCACCCACCAGGTCCTGATTGACTTAAAGGGGCTTCCAGCCCACAGCAGATTGTTAGCTAACCCAGTAAATCCAATCAGCTCACGTGTGATTGTTAATGAAATAAAAAACAATGAACTTTACAAGGACAAATAAACAACTAACTGGATGTTGCTTAAAAGAACAACTAAGTAAAGTTGCTAATTGTACATATAGCTTTGTCAGATAACAGAATTTACTCTAATTACATCATGATTTTTTTTGTTGCATACTATGGAGTCAGAACCAACCCATAGCTGATCCTCCAGTGGGTTTTCAGAGTAAATTTCGTGGGAGGAGATTGATTGCCCATCTTTCCCTCATGGAGTAACCGGTGGATTCAAACCATGTATCTTTGAGTTGACAGTTCAATTCCCTTACTCTAAGCCACCAGAGCTCCCAAAATTGAATCATGCATGCTTTCTTTTATATTTTCCTTTAGTGGTAGCGGAATAACTATCAAATTGTAGTTATCTCTATCTGTCAAAACCACACACAAGAAGATAAGAGACACTAAAGGAAAGATAACAAGGGCTTGAGTTGCAAGCTAAATAAGTTCATCTTCCCCTTGTCTACTATCAGTGATAGGGAGGAAATGAAGAGTGACATATCTCAAGCCTCTGAGTAGATATGCAATGGGCCTCAAGGAAGATATCATTATTCCTCTTATTTCAGCTAGGACATCAGAAGATACAACTAAAATATCATAATTAATGACCTCCAATCCCATGTAGTCAAAATGGTATGAACAATTGACAAAATTCTCTGAATGTTAAATAAATAAAAAGCAAACATTTATTCCTAACATATCAAAGATATCTTTAATTTTAGGAATGATTAGATACGTATACATGTGAGGAAATATTTTATTCTCATGAAAATGTCATGCACTAAGGAAATCTCAAACCTCTTTTGCGCAATTAAATTAATGGAGCATTTGTGGTCACATTACTTTGAGAGAGAGAAAAAAAGAACAAAACAAAAAACCAAAGAACCTACAGATAAATTAAATGACAGGGGGTAAAATTCTCTTTACTTTCAAATTCTCTTTGCTTTCAGCTTATTAGACAGACATAGTTATTTTTAGAATGACAACATTGACTTACCCTAATAAATCCTTTCCTAAAGAGTACCTCAACTAAATATTTCTCTCTGGCACTCAAACATCTATGATGATATCCAATGCCTCTGTGTGCCAAAGCCATCAGTTCTTCACCTCTTTGTTGAAATTTTACTCGATGAAACACTGCCTGCAAAGTCTAAGCAAAGAAAAAAGGTTAGAGAGGCTGGTAATTTCTTATCTGTTTTACTGAGATCAGAACAAAAAATTTTAAAAGGAAACGTCATGGATAAGATGATGTAGTAATATGGGTAAAAGAGGGAATTGTTTAAAATCTGCTCCACATGAGTAAAAATAATATGGCAGCATTGGAAACTATGGGAAAATTGTCTCAATTTTTTTTAACAGAGTGGCATCACTCCACATCAGATGTGAAAAGCACTGATAAAGAAATAGATAAAATTCCTAAAGTAACTGTGAGTGCTTGATCTGCAGGTGGCTGAGGGAGATGAGTTTTCTACTGAAGCCTTGGGAGTTCGCTGCATAGAGGGGAAAACAGGATTACAAGAAAACAGATCTGGTGCCCCACCTTTTATGGCCAAATAAAGTTTACATCTTACACCAAAATCAGTCACAAATAGCCCTTAGATATTCGTACTCTAACAATGAAATTTAGTTAAATGTATGATGGTGAACATTTGTACAAAAGAAGAAAAAAAAACATCTTAAGCAAAAGATGGACAACCTACAATATAATAATCAATGGATTGTCTTCATGCTAAGAGCCAAAGTTGGTTACAAAATAAGATGTACAATTTAATCTGACTTTTGTTAAAATATGTGAGTATGTATAGGAATAAAATGTCTATGTGTGGTTATTGCTAAAGATGGACCATCCTGACTATCACTTTCATTAAACCTCGTACTTGAGGGGAGGAGTGTGTGTGTGTGTGTGTGTGATATGTGTGCGATACGTGTTGTTGTTGTTGTTACATGTCATCAAATCAACTGACTCATAGCAACCCTATGACTAACAGATCTGATACCTGTCTTATCCCGTGCCATCCTCATCATCACTGACACACTTAAGCTAATTCCTACTGTCATCATGTCAATCTATCTTGTGCAGAAGATAGATTTTTTTTAACCTTATACCTTTTTTTCCCTTATACCTTTTCTAGTATGATGTCCCTTTCCAAGAAGTAACCTCTACTTACAACATGTCCAAATTATGCAAGATGAAGCTTCACTATCCTTTCCTCCAATGAGCACACAGGCTGCACTTTTTTAAAATCATACCTATTTGTTCTTTTGGCAGTCCTTGGAATATTCAGCATTCTTTGCCAACACCAACTCAAAGGACTCAATTCCTCTGTCATCCTTATTTGTGTCTCAGATGCATTGCTAGTGACAAGCTGTATAAGGCAAATCTTAAGTCTTTAAACTGACATCATTGCTTCTCAGTGATTTGGAGAGGCCCCTAACAGCAGACTTTCCCAATGCAATACATCTCCTGTCTCCTGACTGTTGGTGCCAAGTATGATGAAATCATAGACAATTTCAATCTTTTGCGTTATGCAGATGACACGGCCCTGCTTGCTGAAACTGAGGAAGACCTGAAATGCTTGCTGCAGAGGGTCAAGGACTGCAGCCTTCAGTATGGGTTGAGGCTCAATGTCAAGAAGACAAAGATTCTCACCACCGAAACAATTGGCAGCTTCAGGATGGAAGGTGAAGAGATTGAGATTGTTCACAGCTTTAGTTTGCTTTGATCCACAGTCAACACTCTTGGCACCAGGAGCCAGGTAATTAGAAGAGGTATTACCATGGGAAAGTGTGCTGTTAGGGACCTCTCCAGGATACTGAAGAGCAATGGTGTCACTCTTGAGACTAAGATGTGTCTGATACAGGCTATGTTCTTTACAATCACTTGTTATGCATCAGAGAGTTGGACAATGACTAGGAAGGATAGAAGGAGAATTGAGGCCTTTGAGCTGTGGTGCTGGAAAAGAGTATTGAATGTACCATGGACTGCCAAGAAAACAAACAGATTCAGCCTGGAGAGGGTTAAATCAGGTTGCTCCTTGGAGACAAGGATTCTGGGGCTTCGTCTGACATACTTTGGACATGTTGTAAGGAGAGACAGGTCCTTGGAAAGAGACTTCCTGCTTGGGAGGGTGGACGTATGGGGCAAGAGTGGAAGACCCTTTATGAGGTGGATTGATTCAGTGACTGGGGTAATCGGGATGGCTGTGTCAGAGGCAATGCAATTGGCACAGGATAGAGCAGAGTTTAGGACTGTTGTACATAAGGTCGCTAGGAGTCCCAAGTGACTCGACAGCACATAATAACAACAACAACTCTTCTGGTATGATGCTGCATATCAGTCCAGTGATGAGGTTTTTTGTCTTCTTGATGTTGAGATATATCCTATTGAAGGCTATAATCCTTGTTCTACTGCAACAAATGTTTCAAGTTTACCTCACTTTCAGTAAGTAAGGTTGTATCATCTGCATAATGCAGGCTATTGCTGAGTCTTCCTTCTATCTGATACCACATTCTTCTTCGCAGTGTTCTCAAATGATTTGTTCAGTGTACAGATTGAATAAGGTTGGAGAAGGAATACAACCCTGATGCACACTTTTCCTTTTAGATTATGCAATGTTTCCTTGGTATATTTGGACCACAGCTTCTTGATCTACGTATAGGTTTCTTTTTTCTTTTTTCTTTTTATGTTATATTGGTTTGTTTACAAAGCTTCTATCTGTTGTGTTTCACACTATTCTTAATTCACATGTGCTTCTTGCAATTATTCTCACTTATGTTTTTCTTATTAACAAAATTAACTGTTCTGAGATTATCATTTCTTCAATGTTAGGTATAGTTTATTATAACTAACATTTATAATATTAATCCACAGAGTAAAATTCTTTGTTGTAGTCAATAAAACATAAATTGATATTCTTCTGGTATTCTCTGCTTTCAGCCAGGACCCATCTAACATCAGCAATGATATCCTTGATGCTTCAGTCTTCTAAACCCAGCTTAAACTCTTGGAGGGTCTCTGTCAGTGCACTGTACTTGTTGTTTTGTAAAAACAACAACAAAACTCATGTTGAAGGACAATATTTAGTTTAAATGACTGCTTTTGTTTCTCATAATATATTGACTTTTACTGTGTCCAGCTTCTACCAAGAAACAAAACTTGTTCCTAGACAGGAAAAACTTACTTCTCACTTCAAGTATGTCACAAAAAAACTTTTAAAGTATTCAGATTCTAAGGAGAAAATTCAATTTTATATGTACATTAAAAGAAATGTTCCTTATGAAAATGTAAAATGAAAGAATAATCATTGGATCTAATTTCTTATCTCAAAGATAGCACGATTCAACAGTACCTAACAACAACAACAGCAGAAATTTCTTACGTTTAAGACTAGTTATATAAACTGTATATAATGATCCACACATAAAAGGGACTATCACAAAGCCATTAACATGATGAACCAAAAACATGTATATTTCAATATAATATACTATTGAAAGACTAAACCAAACCAAAACTCACCACCACTGGGTCAATTTGACTCACAGTAACTTATTTGGTTTTTGAGGCGGTAAAACCTTTGTGGGAATAGCCTATACATCTTTCTCCTATACAATACTTTGTGCTTCTGGCCCTTCAGGTGTCAGTGCAGTCTGCAATGCACTATAGTACCAGGGCAATTTGTGGTTGTTGTTGATTGCCTTCAAATCGAGCATGACTCATAGTGACACTATAAACAAAAGGCCTGAAGCCCCTATCCAACTATCAACATTTATCAAAGTTCACAGAGTGTTCAGAGGCAAGTTGTTTAGGAAGTGGAAGCCACTTCTGCTTCCAAATCTGTCATAGAACTTTATTGGTTGAGTCACCTGTGATGCACAGCAACCCTTTGTACAGCAGCTCTGAACCTTTCCCTGTCCTGAGCCAATCTCACTAATTCTAACACATCAACTCCCATCACCCCAGTCACTGTATCAATACATATCATCTGGGTCTCCCTCTCCTGTGCTGTCTGTCCACCTTTCTGAGCATGATGTCCTTCTCCAAAGACTGATCTCTCCTAGCCACGTGCCCAAAGTAAGTGAGGTGGAGCTTCAAAATCCTAACCTCCAAGGAAAGATTTGGTTTCACCCTCTCCAAGACAGTCTTATTTGTTTTCTTGGCAGTCCATGGTATGTTTAAGACTCTTCTCCAAGCATCACAACTTGAAGACATCTATTCTTCTGTCATCCTTAGGCATTGTCCAACTTTCTGAAGCATAACAAGTAATTGAGACAACTATCGCCTGAATTTGGTGCACCTTTGTATCTAGAATGACATTGTTGCTCTAGAGCACTCAGCATGACAGCAGATTTTCCCAATGCCATTTATCTTTTGAATTCCTGACTACTGGTGTTAAGAGTGTTGATTGTGGATCCAAAGAAGATGTATTGTTAACAAGCTCAATCTTTTCTCCATCTATTACGGTGTTGCCAGTTGGCCCATTGCTGAGAATCTTTGTCTTCTTAATGTCAAGCTTCAATCCATATTGAAGACGATAGCCCTTGATGTTTTTCAGCATGTGCTTCAGGTTTTCTTCAGTTTCAGCAAGCAAGGTTGTCTCATCCGCATATTGTAGGTTGTTAATGAGTGTTCCTCCAATCTTGATGCCACACTCTTTCTCATAAAGCCTTGCTTCCTGAATGATCTGTTCTGCATACAGATTAAAAAGGTACAAGACAGGATGTATTCCTGATGTGCTCCTTTCTTGATTTTGAACCATGGAGTGTTTCTTTGTTCTGTCCTGAGGACATCTTCTTGGTCCCAGTATAGACTTCATATAAGCACAATCAAGTGTTCTGAGATTCCCATTTTCCACAAGGTTAGCCACAATTTATTGTGATCCACACAGTCAAATGCCTTTGCATAGTCAATGAAATACAGATAGACATTATTCTGGTACTTTCTGCTTTCTGCCAAGATCCATCTGACATTGGCAATATGTCCCTAGTGTCATGACCTCTTCTAAACCCAGACTGTATTTCAGGTAGTTCTCTGTCAATGTACTGTTCAAGTCTTTGCTGGATAATCTTCAGCAGGATTTTGCTAGGTTGTGATTTTAGTGATATTGTTCAATAATTTCCACACTCAGCCGGATCACCTTTTTTTTGAGTGGGAATAAATATGGATCTCTTCCAATCAGTTGACCAAATAGTTGTCCTTCACATTTCTTGGCGCAACTTAGTGAGCACATGCAGGGCAGCATCTGTTTGTTGAAATATGCCAATTGGTATTCCACTAATATCTAGGGCTTTTTTTTTGCCAAGTCTTACAGAGCAGCCTGCACTTCCTCCTTCATCACCATTGCCTCTTGCTCATATGTTGTTTTTTTAAATTCTTCTGTGTCAACCAATTCTTTTTTATACAATGACTCTGTATACGCCTTCCATCTGCTTTTAGTATTTCCTGCATCATTTAATATTCTGCTCATATCATCCTTAAGAATTACAATTCTTGGCTTGAATTTATTCTTTAGTTCTTTCAGCTTAAGAAATGCTGAGCAAGTTTGACTCTTCAGATTTTCTGGCTCCAGGTCCTTGCACATTTCATTATAATATTTTACCTTGTCTTTCCGAGCAGCCCTTTGAAATCTTCTATTCAGCTCCTTAACTTCTTGATTTCTTCCCTTTGCTTTGCCTTCTCGGCACCCTAGTGCAATATCTCTTCTGACATCCATTTTGATGTTCTCTTCTTCTTCCTTCTTAGTAATGACTTCTTGCATTCTTCATGAAGGATATTCTTGATATCTTCCCACAGCTTATTTAGACTTCGTTCATTAGTTTTCAAGGCCTCAAAACTATTCCTGCATTGGTTTTTAAATTATAGAAGATAGACTCAAAGTCAAATTTTTATTTCTGTGGATATGATTGAATCTTCTTTAGTTTTAATTTGAACTTGCATATGTGCAGTTGAGGGTCTGTTCCACAATCAGCACCTGGCCTAGTTTTTACTGCTGATATTGAACTTCTCCAAAGGTTTCTTCCACAGATCTAGTCAATCTGATTCCTATGCATCCCATCAGGTGAAATCTATGTGTATACCCTGTGTTTATGTTTCTTATAAAAGATATTTGCTTTGAATAAATTATTGATTGCATAGAATAAGTGGAATAAAAAAGTTATAAAACAATATGCTTAATTTAACCAGATTTTCAATAAAAATACATGAAATGTGTATGTATGTGTATTAAAAAAGTATGTATGTTTATGTGTTTTATTTGTAAAATAGAAGAGCAATGGTTTCCTCAAAGTAATGGGACAGCTTTTATTGCTAATGCTCTGTATTTTAAAGCTACATTACCAGAAGCATAAGTTATTCATAAAATTCTTTCAGAGAAGAAATAGCATATAACTTTTAGAAATTTTAAGGACTTTTGAGAAGTGGTTTGGTTTGGAAAATTCTGTCAATATTAAATACTAGTATTAAAATTGAGTAGTAATACTAAAAGTGTATTGACAACATGTTTCCAAATATGGTCATAGGAATGAGACATTTAAATAAAGCACATCAGACTAAATTATAAAATTCAGGATACAAGCTAATATGCTAGAAAAAAATATCTAAAAAGATAAACATACTCATGAAAATATTAATAAATATAAATGTTTTTCAACATGCACTATAGTTATGTGATAGAAAGAGAATTGATGCCTTTAAGCTGTGGTGCTGGAGAAAGGTATTGAATATACCATGGACTGCTAGGAGAATAAATAGGTTTATGCTAGAGAAGGTGAGACCAGGCTGCTCCTTGGAGACAGGGATTCTGAAGCTTCATCTGACATACTTTGGGCATGTTAGAAGGGATCAGTGCTCAGAGGGGGGCATGATGATTGGAAGGGTGGAGGGACAGAGCAAGAGAGGAAGACCCTCAAATGAGATGGATTGATTCAGAGACTGGGATAATAAGGGTAAGTGTGTAAGAGACAATAAGGTGGGCTCAGGATAGAGCAGGGGTCAGAGCTATTTATTGTACATAGGGTCACTATGAGTTGCAAGCGACTTAATGGCACATAACAACAACAACATTTATATGTACCAGTTACAGCTGTTGGAGGGCGTAATTTCCTAGGGAATGGGTCTTGTCTAAGTGCTAACCTCAGTATCTACAGCCTTTTGATCGGCATATGTGCAGTCTTGTGGGATCTCCTGGTTCTTCTCTAGACACTTCAGTAGACTATCATGTTCAGCTTCGTGTATCAGGCTTTGATCCATTTTTCTGGGCTTTTTCTGACTTTTTTCTTCTCTGTTAAAAAAAAAATTAAATAAGGAATCTTTACATTCAGCCACATAAAAAGCTTAAATATTTGCAGATCATTATCTCAATGTTGACATTTAACATCATCTGTTTAGACTCCACCTCCTCCTCCAGTACATTTCCTCAGAATCCTTAAGAATTATGATATCTCACCAAAAAAAATATCTCTCTACATGTTCATAGTTATTATTTGCCTTGAGTTGGAACTGACCCATACCTGATCCCCTAGTGGATTTTCAGAGGCAATAAATCACTCAAGAGGAGATTGCTCATGATTCTCCCATATATAGCTGATGGGAAATCACTTGCCTTGGGATTGCAGCACAGCTTCATACCACTAGGTCACCCCAGCTCCCTGTATGTTTATAGTATATTCATCTAAATGTTCTCATTTCTTCTTGTTGTAGACAAAATCTAGTTCTTTTTAGATGCCCTTATCCTGTTACATGCTAAAGTCATGAAAATTTTCCTCCCAGGTTCTGACATTAAACATAGAGGTAAGGCAGAAATTCTTCTTACTCTACATTTCCAATTCTAGAGAATTATTTTTTTCCCTCTGAAAGTTATTTAAACTTTGAATGGAATATCTACTATTTTTCTAATCATATAGCAAGTATTACCTTTCAGTAAATGAATAACCAACCATTACTTGCTAGGCAATATACTAAGCAATGGAGATAAAAAGAAGAAGATACATGGTCTCTTTGTGGAGGAGTTTACAACCTAATGGAAATAATATACAAACAACTGCAGCTTATATTGATATATCATCAACTGAATCTTGAAAATATAACAAGAACACATTGTTGGGAGGGGCCAATCCTCAGAAAAAGCTATGATTCTTGGAAGTGTAGATAGGGTCGGTGTAAGAGAAGAACAAAATGCAACAAGATAGACTGCCTGAGTGACTGTAAAAATGAACTTGAATATATTAGAAATTATGAGAGTGGTATATGGAAGGGCAGGGTCCAGAACAGTTTTCCATAGTATCACTGTGATATTAGCCAAATTTTCAGGAAAAAAACCTTACATTATCTTTTGCTTCTCCATGGACTTTTTCACTTTTCGGAGTTTGTTCTCCATGACGTGGGCTTCTTTATCAGCTTTGAGAGGCCTTTTTCTCTCCTGCTTTTGTTCTAGAAAAGTCTTTACACTAAAAGCCATTTCTTCGACAGTATGAATATTGAATCTTGAAAAAAATGAAAGGAATTTTTGCCTTGAGGATAATAGCAAATATTGAATTAAAATAATAAATAATAATACATCTATAACTTATTATACTTGTTGGGTTTTTAATACTTTTTATTCTTTTCATAATTCACACACAGAGTATTATGTCCAAGACAGAATTCTGATTAACTACCTTAGAATAAATAAACAATAAATCAATTCATTAGCAGTAGTAGCAATCAAGAAGCTAAAAGAGGTGTGTTGAACCAGGAAAATCTACTCTAAATGACCTCTCCAAAGTGCTAAAGAAGAAGGATATCAATTTAAAAACTAAAAGTGCACCTCACTCAAGCCATGGTGTAATCAATTGCTTCTTATACATCAGTGAATAAGGATGGCAAGAATTGATGCCTTTTAATTATGTTGTTGGAGAAAAGTATCTAATATATCATAGACTGTCAAAAGAGCAAACACAAATTTGTCTTGGAGAAAGTGCAGTCAGGATGCTTATTAGTGGTAAGAAACACTGGGCAAGTTGCCTAGTGAGACTAGTCCTTGGAAAAGAACGTCACGTGGACGGTGAGAGAAAGAAAAAAAGACCCTCAACATGAAGGACTGATATAGAGCCTGTAACAATGTTGTTGTTAGTTGCTGACAAGTCAGCTGTGACTCATACTGAGTTTATGAAGAACAAATCTTAAGGTTTTTTCCTATCCTGCACCACCATCACCATCTCTGAAATGCTTGAGCCCCTTGTGACCGCTGAAGGGTCAGCCATGAGCAAGTACTGACTCAATGACCATGACTTTCCAAAACTTTTTGGTTGTGATTCAAGGGATTCAATATCAAATGTCACTTCCTTGGAGCTCATTCTGCTGCTTTTTTAAGGTGCTTTCAATTCAAGTAGGACTTACAGTGAATGACCCTTTGAATAATATATCTGAGCCTTCCACTATCCTATGGAATTTTCATTGTTTCTGGTAGTCACGCGGTCAATCCATCTCCTTAAACATTTTCCTCTCCTTTACTGACCCTCTATGTTTCCCAGCATGGTGCTGTCTCTCCAAGAACCAGTTCCCAATTAAAATACTCCCACAGTAAGTGAGACAAAATTTCACCATCCTTGTCTCTAAGGCATACTCTTGTTGCACGTCCATCATGACATCTTTGGTGTTTTGCTTTTTTAAATTCATATTATAATCAATACACTTCAGCAAAACCACAATTCAAAGGCTTCAAAATTGGAAATCATAGATTAGATTTATACAACACACATGTATATTCAGTATAAATTATGAGCCAAAGGTCTTTACTATAGTTGTTACAAAAGTAAAATTAAGAAAGTAAAATAAAAAACTTACATGAAACATAGTGCAGGCAACTTCCCCAATTTTCTTAATTTTTCAATAACATGTGGAAATATACCTACAGTGTTTTCTGAAATACCAAGTGTATTAGGTCTAAGACTCTGGAGCACTATTTTGGCCTGCAAAAATGAGTAAGAAATCATTAAAGTTCTGAGTATAAAAGAAATTGATTAAAATGTGTACTTAAAATTTTCATAATTGTCTGGTCTGTTTCTTTGATTCTTTAAAATAATCTTATGAAAGCATAATATTAAACTAAACAAATAAATACACTAGGGGGAAATACATATGTTCAAACACCTGATGAATTACGTTAACTGAAATTTCATATTTATAATATGATAATAAATTTACTATCTGATTATTTTGCCCATTAATGTGCATTTGATTAGTGATACCAATGTTTGGAGCTATTACTTCAACCACTGAGTTAATCCATCTCATCCAGAGTATTCCTCTTTTGCACTGTCCCTTTACCTTTCCAAACATGATGTCCTTCTCCAAGGAATGGTCCCTCCTAAAAACATGCCCAAAGTATGTGAGACAGAGCTTCAAACTCTTTGCCATGAAGGAGCAGCATGGTTTTACCCTCTCTAGGGCAGACTGGTTTGTTTTCTTAGCAGTCTATGGTATGTTCAATACTCTTCTCCAGCACCACAACTCAAAGGCATCAATTCTGAGATCATCGTAAGTCATTGTCCAGCTCTCTGATGCATAGCAAGGAAGTGTATAGACCATGTCCTGGGTTGGGTGCATGTTAGTCTCACACACAGCAAGTAATTGCAAAGACTGTAGGCTGGATCAGGCCCACCTTAGTGTGCAGAATAACATCATTGCTCATTAGTACTTTGGAGAGGTCTCTGACAGAAGACTTTCCCAAGGCATTTCATCTTTTAATTTCCTGGCTGCTGGTACAAAGAGTGTTGATGGTAGAGCCAAGCAAACTGAAGCTATCAACAATATCAATCTCTTCACCATCTATCATGATGCTGCCAATCTGCCCAGTGATGAGAATCTTTGTTTATTTGATGTTGATCTTCAATCCATTTTGAAGGCTGCAGTCCATGATCTTCTGCAGCAAGCACTTCAGGTACTCCTCAGTTTCAGCAAGTAGGGTTGTGCCATCTGCATAAACCAGATTGTTGATGAGTCTTTCTCCAGTCATGATGCCACACTTCTCCTAAGAGAGCCCAGCCTCCAGGATAATCTGTTCCACATATAGATTGAGAATATATGGAGATAGGACACATCCTTGATGCATACCCTTCCCAAATTTGAACCATGCAGTGTTTCTTTGCTCTGTTCTGACGATTGCCTCCTGGTCCGAGTATAGGTTTCACATAAGCAAATTCAAGTGTTTTGTGATTCCCATTCTTCTCAGAATCAGTGACAGTTTATTGTGATCCACATAGTCAAATGCCTTAGAATAGTCAATAAAACAGTTTTTCCTCTAGTATTCCTTGCTTTCAGCCAAGATCCATCTAACATTAGCTATAATATCGCTTGTACAACAGACTCTTCTAAACCAGCCTGTATTTTGGCAGGTCTTTGCTGATGACTGTTCAAGACATTTTTTTATAATTTTCAGAAGAATATGGCTTGCATGTGATCTTAATGATATTTTGTGTGTGTGTGTAATTTCCACACTCTGAAGGTAATACATGTGGAGCAGGGAAATGGGTGGGTCAAGACACATGTGTCAAGGGCAAGAACAACACAACACTGAACCTATTGGTTACTTCTCTAAGTAGGGAAACATCTTTGATCAGCTCTTTTTCTGTAAAATGTTTGTCAGAGACTGTTTTAAATCTGAACATTCAAATTAAGACAGACTGTGAAAAAGGATTGGCCATCCACTTCCAAAATGTCAGGCCTTCAAAAACCTGATGTACAATAGAAAACATTTAGACTAGCAGATATGACAACTGAGGATGAACCCTCAAGTATGGAAACACAAAGTAGGAGGAACAGTTATAAGAAGACACTAGTGATTGGAAGGTGGAATGTGAGAACCATGAATGTAGGAAAATTTGATTTCGTTAAGAAAGATATGGAGAACATAAATATTGATATACTAGCTATTGGTTAAATGAGATGGACTGGCACGGGGCATTTTGATTCAGAAAATTATATGATCTAATATGCTAGAGATTAAAAGGTGAGGAAAAAGAGGGCTGCTCCCATAGTTAAAGAAGTCATTTCTAGATCTATCTTAAAACACAATGGTTGTGAGTGACAGGATAATATGCATTCATTGCAAATACATTTTATAAGAAACACAAACTCAGGCTATACACATAGATTTTACCTGATGGTATACATAGGAAGCAGATCAATTACATCTGTGGAAAGAATCACTGGAGAAGCTTAATATCAGCTGTGAAAATTAGGCCCGGTGCTGATTGTGGAACAGACCACCAACTACTCATACACAAGTTCAAGCTGAAGCTAAGGAAAAATTAAATCAAGTCCACAGAAACCAAAATTTGGCCTTGAGTCTATCCCACCTGAATTTCAGAATCATCTCAGGAACAGGTTGGAGGCCTTGGACATTAATGAGCAAAGACCAGATGAGCTGTGGGAGGATATCAAGAATATCATCCAGAAAGAATGCAGAAGATCATTACAAAGGCAGAAAAGGAGGAAAAGACAAAGATGGATGTCGGAGAAACTCTATTGCACTGGAACGCCGAGAAGCCAAAACAATGGGAAGAACTCAAGATATTAAGCAATCGAACAGAAGATTTCAGAGGACAGTGAGGGAAGACAAAGTAAAGTATAATAATGAAATGTGCAAGGAGTTGGAGTCAGAAAATCAAAAGGGCCAAACTTGCTCAGCATTTCTTAAGCTGAAGGAACTAAAGAATAAATTCAAACCTCAAGCTGCAATACTTAGGGATGCTTTGGGTAGAACATTGAATAATACAGGAAGCATTAAAAGAAGATGGAAAGATTATATAGAGTCAATATACCAAAAGGAATTGGTGGACACAGAAGAATTTGATGAAACAATGTATAAGCAAGAGCCTGTGGTAATGAAGGAGGAAGTTCAAACTGCTCTGAAAGAATGGGCAAGAAACAAGGCCCCCAAATAATTGATAGCTTACCGATTGACATATTTCATTTGCTGCTGTGTATGTGCTAAAAAAAATCTGGAGGACAACCACTTTGCCTACTGACTGGAGGAGATCTAGATTTGTTCCCATTCCAATGAAAGGTGATCCGACAGAGTGTGGAAATTATCAAACAATATCATTGATATCATATGCAAGCAAGATTCTGCTGAAAATCATCAATAAACAACTGGAACAGCATGCCAACAGAGAACTGCCTGAACTGCAGGCTGGATTTAGAAGAGACCATGGCTCTAGGGATCTTATAGATGTCAGATGGACCTTGGTTGAAAGCAGAGAGTACCAGAGAAATGTCTGTATGTCTTTCATTGGCTATGCAAAGGAATTTGACTGTGTGGATTCCAACAGACTGTGACTGACTTTGAGAATAGGAATTCCAGAACACTTGATTGTGCTTATAAGAAACTTCTATTTGGACCTCGAGGCAGTTGTCAGAACAGCACAAAGAAACACTGCATGGTTCAAAATTGGGAAGGATGTGCAAGGATGTGTTCTATCTCCATATCATTTCAATCTCTATATGGAACAGATTATCCATGAGGCTGGGATATAGGAGAAGTGTGGCATCATGACTGGAGGAAGACTCACCAACAATCTGCTTTATAAAGATGGCACAACCGTGCTTGCTGAAACTGAGGAGGACCTGAAGCGCTTACTGTAGAAGGTCAAGAGCATCAGCCTTCAATACGGATTGAAGACCAACATCAAGAAAACGATGATTCTCACCATTGGGCCGATTGGCAGCATTGTGATGGATGGTGAAGAGATTGAGATTGTTGACAGCTTTAGTTTGCTTGGCTCTACAATCAACACACCTGTTATTAGTGGCCAGGAAATTAAAAGACAGATTACATTGGGAAAGATTACTGTCAGAGACCTCTCCAAGGTACTGAGGAGCAACAATGTCAGTCTGGAGTCTAAATGTGACTGATACAGGCCATAGTCTTTGCCAGTACTTGCTATGCATCAGAGAACTGGACAATGACTAGGAGTGATAGAAGGAGGGCTGATGCTTTGAGATTTGGTGCTGGTGAAGAATACTGAATATACTATGGAGTGCTAGGAGAATGAACAAGTTTGTCCTGGAGAGAGGGAAGCCAGGCTGCTTCTCGGAGGCAAGGAATTTGAAGCTCCACCTGACATACTTTGGACATGTTGCACGGCTGGATCAGTTGTTTGAAAGGGACGTCATGCTTGGGAGGTTGGAAGAACAGCACAGGAGAGGAAGACTGTTGGAAACCTTTAATAAAGACATATCGAAAGCTTTGTATAGCACTGGAAAATTCTTAAGTAAAAGACATAAGGAAGCAATCAGTTGTATGAGAAGCAAATATCCAGATGTTCCCACAAAAGAAACTGCTTGCTGCTCTCAGTACAAAAACAGTGTGATCGTTCCTTGAACCCTGGGGCTAAAAGGGGTATGAAAAACAAAATGTATTGCCAGCCTTGAGGCTGGATTGTTTTTCTGTTCCCTATAAAAGGACAGATAATAATAAACTCAGGGCTGCAGTATTCACTGCATGCTCCCCGACTCTTTCTCTGGTTTCTGTCATTTTTCCTTATTGTCACTTCCCCCTCCTTGGGAAGTTGTTGTTGTTATGTGCCGTCGAGTCATTTTTGACTCATAGCGACCCTATGCACAATAGCCCTAAAACCTGCTCTATCCTGCGCCAACCACACTGCCTCTGACACACCCATCCCGATTACCCCAGTCACC